TGCTGGCCTGCGCATCTGCAAGATAGTCAAAGTGTCATAATCTAATCCTAATATAACATTTTGTACAACTTTCTCCCTGACCTGTTTCTTGGTCTTGATGCCTTTTGTTCATTAATGTTCTCTCACAAACTTCAGTCTAGTTGCACTGAAGTATTGTTAATTATTATGGAACTTCTAAAGAAAACTGCTTCCACTTTCTGTTAGTGGTGCCATAATGCAGGGCGCTGACTACAAATAAGTGCAACAGGGTTTCTTTTAGATTTTCATTGGATAAAACTTGAAAGTCGCATAAGATTTGTCTTTCATTTCACATTTTGGCAAAATTTGGTTTTGTCTCTGTCATAAAACCCAATTTGAAGTGCTGTAATTGACTCCAGAGGAGCTGAACTGCTCAGAAACTCAACAACTTAAGTCCATAAACATTTTGAGCTTGATGTGTTCGAATCGGATTTGTTTCCTCTCACTGATGCACAGACATCCAAGACAACTGTCAGTCGAAAAAGCTCAGCTTCAGTGCGCCGTGTCATGTGCATACTGTCTCCACAGTAACAGCTGTAAACTGCTCTGTGCGTCTGCAGAGCTCAGCAGGGAGCTGACAGGAATATCTGAGCGGATTGTCTTCTTACAGTCGTTTATTTGAAAAGCAGCTCAATAAAACGAGAAGCACAGATATTCTTCCCTGTCCTGTCTTTCCAATGAGATGTTTCTCAAGTATATTTTTTTCTATATGATTGATTATCAATCATTTCCTGTTGTTAAGCTGTACTAGAATAATCTGGATCAGACTTTTGATGCTGCAGCTGTTCATTTGTGTGATGCTGCTGCCCTCCAGTGTTTCTTGCAGCTGTGGCAAAAACCATTTAATTAACCAACATACAGCATATAAGAGCATGATTTTTTTTTGCAGTTTATACACAACAGTTTCATCTGACCTTTGTCTCCCTTTACAGATGTTTCTTCATTTCCTTAATATTACAACGTTTTCAATTTAAATGTTAAAAAAAAAAGCAAAATCTAAGAGCACCGAGAAGATTTGAGAAGCAGTTTTTTGCTGTTTGTGCCTCCTGTGGTGGATGTTAGTATTTATTTAGATATTTTTTCTTAATTTACATTAATATTAGTTAGAGTTTACTTTAAGCTTAAGTTAATAATTTTATTTAGACATATATTTTATAATAAGCCCGCAGTTTAGTTAACATTTGTCTGAATGGTTTACTTACACTCGTTCTTTTTGTTTTGAGGTTCTGCAAGCACAGACCAAAACGTCGGCGTCTTGTGATGCAACGTGGATGGAATCAAATAAAAATGTTGAGTGATGTGCTGTGTGACAATAACTAAAGAACATCCGATATACTACAGCATGACAGATGTAAAGATGTGATAAAATGAAGGAAAACAATCAAAAAATACTTTGTGTGGAAATGAAGCACAATTGTTTTGTTTTTTGGGGTTTTTTTTATCCCAAACAATTTTTGTCTGCATCTCTCTATTCCTTAGCGAAGGTTGAACAATATTAAACACCTGTTGTTCCATTGTTGTTGTTTTTTTATTAGATGTTTGCATGTATCTGGGGATGTCTTGGCTGTGCTTTATTCCACAGCAGGTGAATCTTCTTTAACCTCCTGGGGTTCACTCAAACCGCAAACATACCCACATTTCTGCCTGAATTTGTTTTTTTTTTCTTTTTGGCCTGCATTATTGCTTTTTACAAAGACAAATAATGATGTTGTTTTTAATCAAGCTTTTATTGGACTTTTCTGGTTCCTTTGTCTCTCAGTAGCTCACTTGTGGCATATTTAATAGTGGAGAGCGCATTAGCAGTTTCCAGATTCATCCTGTCTCTTCCTTCCTGCTTGTTCTTCGATTGGAATATGAAAGAAGCAGGTTATTGCTGCTCAGGCTAGGCCAGTATATCTTTTAAATAATTGTTTTCTCTGAAGTCTGAGATTCCTTTAAATGCACAGAGGTTAGTAGATGTTTCCAGAAGCATATCTAAAGCCAAACGGAAAGAAGTGAACTCCTTCCAATTACACACTCGGTCATAGAAACAGTGGCAAACAACCAGGGATATTCAGGAGAGAGCAGTTTGGGTTTGTTCTCTGTAGTTTATGCATCCCAAACAAAAAGTTCTGGGAGAAGCTGTTCAGATTTCCCTGCGCAGAGATAATCTGCAGCTCATTTGATTGCAAAGACCCTTAAAAGTTTAATAGACATAAACAAGATTTTTAATCAGAGATAAATGTTTTTGCTGTATTTTGCCAGAAATTATCAACTGAGTATAGTCATTGTTAAGGTGATACTTTGGAAGTGAGCTGCTAAAATAACTTTGTCAACCTAATTAGCAGATGTATTGCTGTAAAAATGAGATATCCATCCTGCCATCGATTATCTAACATATTTATCTTTGTAGGGCCTCCAGCAGTCAACGAGTGAGATATAGAAAACTACGGGATATTTCATGATTCTCTCATCTTAAGTGGTTTCAGTCTCTTCTGGTGGGTCTGAACTGGGTTTCCTCCTTATCAAAGAGAGCAGTTTTTATGTTAAATCTGTCTATAGTTTTATTAAAATTTAGACACATCACCTCAGTTTAAAATGTTCTCATTCTTTTTTAAATATTTATTTTGAATTGTATTGATTTAATCTCCAAAAGTAGGGCTCAATCACATTTTATTTTATTTTTTTTCTGTAACAAAAAACACATTAGTTGGCTTGTTAGAGAGTTTTGCAAAAGACTGTGTGCGAATGTGAAGTTGTGCATACATTTTAAAATATAATCCTGGTTTTGGATTCATGCTAATCAGAAATATTCAATTTTATTCATTTGTTAGGTTTTTTGCTTTGGGTTTTTTTTTTTTTAACTAGTCTTAAATAGCTGATCAATAGTGTTGTTTTCCTTTTGCGTAGATGAGCATCTTTGCCATCTTCATGGAGTGTAACAGCATTTTTTGAACTGTGGAGGGCGCACTGCTCCAACAAAATGATTAGACTCGATCTCTAAATCCCTGGAGAGTTTTCCATTAAGGTCCGCTTGGGTTTTGACCATGTGTCAATTGAAACGACACCAAGTGATCCTGTTGGACCTGAAATGACCCAGTGAGGAAGCCAAAAGGAAAGCGGCCGTCTCTGTGATAGAAATAGATGTTCATGTTTATGTAAACTATAGTTCAGATGGACAGAGTTTAAAGATTCACATTTTATTGTAAATGTTACAAAAGTTAGTTTCCATTTAAAATACATTTTCATACTAAAGAAAAAAATATGTACAAAGTGCTGTTGGATAAACAGAAACAACTGTAAGACACTTTTAGGGAATTTAAACAATCACAATCTTTGTCCTGTTCTTTTTGGATTTCAGCTCGATTTTAGTTCAGAGGAAAACGAAAATGAAAACATTTCCCTCTGCTCCCCTTTGGACTTTATCAAGTTTTGACAGAGGGAGATCACCTGCCTCCTTTCCTGCTTCGTAAGCAACAGTTTGCAGGATTTCACTCCTTTTAAAAAGAACTTCAACGCTTTAGACGCAAATAAGCAGATTTACTTCTGTTCAAACAGCCAGCATGATGAAAAACGTGTTTGCTGGAAAATTAACAGTCGCAACGAGTAAACTTCACAGTTTGTAATTATAAAATGTATCTATGATTAAATGGAAAAAATGTAGATCTTTCATTTTATATCCTCTTTAGATTAAAAAAGATCTTTCTTTTCTCATCTGCTTTGCCATTGACAAACTGCCTCCTTTTTCCATGAAAATGTTTTGAAAGCTAAAAACTATACAAGACAAAACAGCCAGATTTGGTGCCAGATTGAACATTGCGTTCAATCTGGCACCAAATATTTAAAGATTAAAATAAAAATAGCTAATATTTGTTCTGGTTTCCAGAAAAAGACACTTTTGTGGATTAATTATTATTTTTTGGGCATAACTGACTTAATGTCAATGAATTTCATATTATTTTCCAACCATTTGTTCTAGTATTTAAAATACCTCTCAGGAATCAATGAATTGTAAAAATTATCTTGATTGTGCTATTAATCTCTTAAAAACGATGCTAAACAAATGTATAAAATTATTCTTTAAATTTTTATCCTTCTTATTTAAAAGTAAACCCATTTCAGTGATTAATAAAAAATGTAAAATAACCGCACATTGCTGTTGCTCTCATCTTCAGTTATCTTTGTTCTGCATTTGTGAACTCCAGTGTGTGATACAGTGACATCTAGCAACATAAACTACAGTCTGCAACCAACTGAACACCTCGTACCTCATTCTCCATGAGTCTAAAGATTAAAAAGGTTAGTAACACTTTATTTGAAGGGGGGTGAATAAGACTGTCATGACACTTTCATAAACATGACATATCACATGTCATGAACATGAATAAGCCTTCATGAATATGTATGACTGCTGTCATAAAGTGTCATTCTGTAAATTATGACACTTTTAATACAAAGTTGACATTATTCAAAATGTCTTTGTTATGACAACTTGGAAATCAGGAACCAGGAAATCATTACTGTTTAAACTTTACCTTTAATAACATAAAGTTACCTAATTTTTAAAGTGCAATCAGTAATACTTTTATAACAAATTTATATCAGTAATGATTTCTTGGTTAATGTCAAGTTGTCATAACAAAGACATTTTGAATAATGTCAACTTTGTATTAAAAGTGTCATAATTTACCGAATGACACTTTATGACAACAGTCATAAATATTCATGAAGACTTATTCATGTTTATGACAGTGTCATGTCAGCCTTATTCAACCCACTTCAAATAAAGTGTTATCAAAAGGTTTTTAAGTAAAAAAGTACACATGTTAGGATTCATTTCAGTTCCACATTAGTGATAATAGTGAAGAAAGTTGGACTTTTATCTCTGCTAAGCAATCGGTCAAAAGCTGGAAAATTGACCACTCTGAAGACAATCTTGGGTCTTCCCTGGTATTTGCACAGAACTTCTGAAAATGAGCTTTTAAACTTAATTAATTTTCAAATCCTGGGTTTATTCTTTAATTATTTTTAACCCCAACACTTCTCTTATTCTGGTCCCCGCTCCCTTTAGTCTTCTGCGATGTTTGAATGCATCTAACAGTCACTGGTATTGATGTTTTGAGGCCACAGCCGGCCTCTTTTCAGAGCAGTTCTTTGGGGCGCTGCCTCCAGCTGCTGTTGTCGCGTCCAAGCCCAGAGAGCGTCGGTACGCTGCTGACAGCCTGTACAGGACGTCAGGCCGAGGGCCTGGGTGGGCGTCGGCCTTCTGAGTCATCAGCATCTCAAACAGCGTGCTGACCTCTGACAGCAAAGCTCCGCCCAGCTGGCCGTCTTTCTCTGGAGTTTTACCTGAAAGAGAGTGAGAGGTTGGAAAGTTTCTCCCTGCCAGCACTGAATGGAAAGCATGTTTTACAATAAAATACATACAAGACATGTGAAATTAATATTTAACCAGTCTGGAATCATATATGCCACTGAGTGAATTCACAATTTACAGTTTAGGATTTTATGTGGTGCAGCAACACGATGTGGCACACAATTGTGAAGCGGAAATTATATATGTTTTTTCTCTTACATTTCTTTTCGCAAGTAAGAAAAACGAATTCTGCACATTCCCACTGTGAAGCATGGTAGTAGCAGCATCAGGCGGTGGGAATATATTTTTCATTAGCAGGAAAAGAGAAGCTGAACAGAGTCGATGAGACAATGGATGGCGTAGAGGGAAAAACTGTTGTTAGAGGCTTAATACTGAAACTGAGGTGCAACTTCCAGTAGCCCTACAACCTGAAACAACCGTGAGACACCCAACAGAATGAATTTGAATAAAGTCAGGATCTAAATCTAACTCAGAATCTCCAGTTTATTTGATAATTATTGTTTACATATGTTGTCCAAACTTACTGCTCTTAAGATATGTAAAAAACAAAAAAAAAACAAAAAAATAAACTATCCTTTTTTTATGTGTAAAGATGGTGAAAAGACTTTCAGCTTTGTTGCATTAAAGCATGGCTGTAAATGTATCCAGAATGCATTCCACACTTTTTGGATATTTATTTGTTAAGGATTTTGTTTTCATCTCTTTCCCTCCACTTAACCGTTTTGCACTGGTTATGTGTTTGTGTGGGTCTATCACACAAAATCCCAATAAAATACTTTAAAGGTTGTTGCAGTTGAAAAAAATATACATATAAATGTTCCAGGGGACCGATACCGTATCTTGAAATAACTCTAATAGCCTTTGAAACATTTACCAAAGGTGGAGAAAGACGAGGTGGAGTTCAGGCCGTCCCGCGGTGGAAGCTCGCTTTCAGGAGAAGGAGGACCATTGGGCACAAAGACGTTGTCATGGTAATCGACTGTGAGTGGCAGGGAGAGCCTGGCCATCCAGGCGGGGTCACTGATCTCTGAGAAAACGTCATCTGAAAACAAAAAGAAAGACATTTTGTGCAACTACTGCGATTCTGAACACTTTGTTGACAGAAAACTGAAGTGTTTAGATTATTTGCCAAGTCGAAGGTTTCTTTTCATCAGCAAGGTGAATATTTGAAAGGCATCTGACTGTGATTAGAATATTAAAGCTTACATGCATGTTTAGTTATTGGAAGGCAACGTATGATTTAGTGCTAAACTGAATGACTATTTCAGCATGTTTAAGAGCCCTGGATTGCATGTGAAAGCGTGTTAATTTAGGCAAAACAAAAATTCATTAAGACAGTTTCAGATTCAGGGAACCTGTATTCTGTTAATTAAAGCAGGCAAACAGCAGCTTTTCATGTTTTTTATAGACATAAGGAACACATTAGATTAACACAAGAATAAACAGCATGCTTTAATTTTTTTTCCCAGATCAAGTGATATCACAGTAGTATTGTAATGTTTTCTCCTATGTTACCTTTTTCTTTAGAATTGACTTTGTTTTAGGATAGCATTTACTGACACTGTGGCACAATGGTAGCTTCATTCTGGACACTATTCATGCAACCGGCACTAGTCAGAGTTTTTCACCTATTTTTACCAGAGTTTATACCTATTTGTATTTGTGTAGCTAAAACTAAAATCTGAGTTTGTTGCACATCCAACTCTACAAGAGCTGGTCAAATTGAAATAAAGAACCCAATGTATGTGTCCTGCTGGTTTCTATGTGCCTCCTCGCTGAGAACGAGGCAGGAAAATCAGGAAACAACACGGGGGTTTTATCTGGCTGATGTTAACAGGAGCTTCCTGCCATCTCTGGCATCCTTTGCTTTTCTGAGCATGCATTAAACATCACGTCCACACCAAAGCAACAAACCTCCTGCAGCAGCCAGAGAGTTCAGTCCCTGTAAGAGGCGTAAACACCGGGTGTGTCTGCGTGGAAAACACAGCAAGCCCAGCTTCTGACTCACAAACAAGCGGGCCACGGAGGATTATATGGCTCATTTCATGCATTCACTGATGTTGGAGTTTATCCTTTTGTTTAAATCTCCTAATCTTTTTCCTTGCTCCCCATTACTCCATCCTGTTTATGTGCTGTTCTTCCTGCTGTGACAGCTTGAGTTCCTCTTTAAGCTATTTAGGTTTCATCTGATCTAATTTAGCTGAAAAATGTGAACGGTGTTCTCAACATGTAGCTGGAAACTGTTCAAGAATGAAAAGGACTGAGTCAGATTTAGCTCTGTGCATCCCTGTCTTTTTCAGAAAATAATCTCTGAAAATATTCTGATGTTCATTTAAAATACTGCTACTGGATATGCAAAGTTAACTGCACAAAAATCCAAGATCAAATCACTTTTTGGATGAACCTTTGTTATAGAAATGCTTTAAATTCTACCAATCTCTGGGACCTTTTTGATATTTTTTTAATATTAATTTGAACTCTTAAAAATATAAGTGATATGTTAAATAAATGTAATGCCAACAGTTTTATTCTAAAAGAAAGATGGGTCTTTTCTTCAAAATGTTATCCCTTTTTCTATTCTAATCAGTTTTCTGGTTTAACCTCCTTGTGTTGGTTGGCAACCACTGTGTGCTGGACAACACTTAAATAATCTTTCATAAACATCATTTTCAGTGGTATATTTTAATTTTCTGATTAATTGATGTTGCATTAGCTGTAATGTAATTTATAGAAATAAATATAAAGTATATTAGTATGTATGTAATGAACCTATTAAATAGAGGATTTTCATATTTTGAATAGAATTACTGGAATAAAATAACCTTTTTATTATGTTCTATTTTAATATGTCATGTAAATGTGAACATATTTAATACATTAGATTACTGAAATGTTAATTTATTAGTAACTCAGCTCATTAACTTAAACACAATATGGATTAATTATACTCAGACTGAAATTTTAAAGGTTTGGTTTCTGTTAATTATGATGATATTCGGCCCACAGCCAATGAAAACACATTTAGAATACTGCATTAGACCAATAAAAACAAAACATTGAAAAGTCTGTTTAATACCTGGCTAAAGGTATTAAACATTGTAACACTTATTAAATGTGACTACATATATACTTTATATATACATATTTTATGCTAAGTTACAAAATATAGATTATACTTTGTTGATGCAACAAGCCAGAAGGACATTTGGCTGGGAGTAATTTGCTGCTTATGTTTTCATGACATGTTGATTATGGTACTTCAAACTGAATTCAATTCAATTCAATTAAATGAACTATCCATCTGTCCATTTTGCCTTAACGCAATGCACTTACATCTCTTCCCTTTTCAAATATAGTTTTTTAATTTTGAGAATTTTTTTAAGTACACTTCAACTTTACATATTTTATCCTACACTCTGAAGGAGTGGTCCCCAAACTTTTTCCTGTGAGGGCCACATAACTTTTCCCTTCTCTGGTGGGGGGCCGGAAATTGTTGACAGGGGGCGGGCGTGGGAGGGTTTACACACTTCCTGCTAAAGAGCCCCCTGGTGGTTGAAGAAAAATCCACATATAAACCGGAAAATACAATAAATGAAAAAAAAAATCTGAATGCTCTCTGGTATTGTTCAGGGGGCCGGACCAAATGTGGAGGCGGGCCGAATCCGGCCCGCGGGCCGTAGTTTGGGGACCCCTGCTCTGAAGCATGGCGATATTTTTGTCTGTGAAAAGTGTTATCTAAATAAAATGTGTTTTACTTACACTGTGGACCAAATTCATTTCACGTGAATTATTGATAACTATTTATGTGGAGATTCATCATTTCTAATAACGGAGGGTTTTGGCTCTCGCTGCACAAAGACAGACTTTGAGGTTGGCGTTTAATAAATGAGTCATTTTAAAAGTGAAAAATAGTTTGTAAACCTAGACAGATGTGTTCCTCACAAAAAAGGAGAGACTACATATTTCATTGCACTATGACATCTGTATGAAAATCCAGAAATAGGCTGTCCCACCAGCCACCAAATGAATGTAATTGATTAAAATCTTTCTCAGCTTTGACTGATCAAAAACTGTTGGTCTCCTTCATCTAACCACAACCAGATGTGGAGACTTTAATGTACCATCACACACAGAAACACACACTGATGTTTCCACCCAGAGTGGTTTAAACCGCCCCGGAGTTAACCCCTTCCCCTTCAAACTCCCCCTTTTCACTCAATGTTTAGCAGCACTAACACAACAATCCTTCATCAGACAAATTATCCTTAAAGGACGAGAAATTAAAAGTTTCAGGCTATTCTTCGGATATAAAAATTTATTATTCATTCAGTGTTTGTTGGCTGTAAAATAAGTTCAACAGAGCCTTTAATTTTGCTAATTAACTGTTTCTCTGTGTGGAGTTCTGACCTGACTAAACTACACATATTTTTACCCTAAAATGTAACGAAAGAGGCAAATTTTGTCTGTGAATCATTCAAGTAAGGAAAAAAAATTAATGCTGCAGAATAATGCAGCTTTCAACACAACCTGCCAGGTCTCAGGTGTGCATTACACTCATCTCAGGCCCTTCAGGCCAAAAGATGAGTCAACCATCACACACACACACACACAAGAAAAACACATTCCCACTCACTCTTTTGTTTCTCTCTCTTCTGACGAGTCATAAAGTGAAGCTTGGCCCTCCATCATCAGGCAGTAAACCCCCCTGCTCGCCTGGAGGCTCCTGCAGCCTCCAAACCACAATACCAGGAAGAAACTGTTTAACACACGAACTGTGTGCACTCGGATGCCTCTGTTCTTCATGCTACTGAGAAAGTCCCGGCTAAACAATGAGTTGCAAGTGTGTTTGAGGTTTAGCAGCTGAAGCATGTTGGTCAGTTCGATGAAGACTCGCCAATACATCCAAACGCAAACCTACGTCTAAGGATCTCCTTCCAGGTTAAAGACACAAATCTTTATACTTTGCATATACTGGAAAAACACTTCTCTCCCAATTGGCTCTGCAATATTGTTTCTTTGGGAACTTTTTCACATAAATCCATATATGCTGTATTCATTGTCCAGCTGCAATACTCACCATCATACACATGTGGCAATGAATTTGATAATAATTTGTCATAAAATGACAATTTGATGATGGGAAACAAATTATGAAGCACGGAGGAACTTCCACATTTGTAGTTTGATCAAAGTGGTTCGGAAACAGCAAAAACTGACACATTTTATTAGTCTTCAGCTTTCCTGTATATTAACTGGCAGTTATTTTTTTATTTTGTTTATTAATTCTTTGTACATTTTGTCAGCGTCACACACAATATCTGGTGTTGTTGATGCGGTTAGTAAAACAATCATCCGTTTGAATCTGAAAAATGTTATGAATGGGTGCAGAGATTCCAGAGGAACACTGTTTTCCTGTTATTTCCTGCTGCCTTCCTGTTTTCTCCTTTTAGACAGGTTGATTGTAAGAGAGCAGTCTGCATGTTGTCTGCATGAGCCAAAGTATGTCGCAGCTCGTGCAGACCACTACATTTTTAATGTGGGGATTTTACATTGACCCAGGGTTTTTAAAACCCTAGAAAGATTGAACCAAAACAATCAAACAGCAAGTAACCTACCAAAACTAAGCAGAAGCACTGACAACGTTCACAACTGGTAGAAGTCACGTTGTTAACATTACAAACAAAATCCTGTGTTTAAAGACATCAGCTTTGACATCAGCTTTATTTTACTTGAATGACTCTTCAGCTGAAATAATACATTTTATTGGAAAAAGCCGCACTTTAAGTTTCGGTTATTCTTGGTAATAAAATACCTTTAATATCTTCAGCTTGTACTCAGAATTAGCCAAGAAAATATTGTTATAGCAAATAGTGTTTGTTATTTTGGGTGTGGGAATTTAAATTTAGAACATACCATATTAACATTGTGCTAACATCTTCTGTAAGTGTGACTTCTTTTTGAAATGTGTCTTATAACATGTTACCTGGGCTGTTGAGAAGGTTACTGAGGCCTTCTTCCAGCTGTGGGTCTATGGGTGAGTCTCTTCCTGCTTCCCAGTCCACATCACCAGCCTCACTCTCTCCATGTCCACTGTCTTTGGTGCTCTGCCAATCTGAGCAGTCGTGACCTCCATATCTGCAGACAAATATATGAAAATGTTGATTAATTTCAACATCAAATTTCCCATTTTTAAGATCAAATATATCAAATATCCAGATCATGCAAACTGAAAAACAAAAGTTTGAAAAGTTCTTATCTGTAGTGAACAGAAATGGATAAAGATCCTTGGAAATTGCACAACAGTTGGATGACATTAAAAAGGAAGAAGCAAAATTAGGTAATTAAGTGAACCAGATAAATATCATAAATTGCACAGTTCAAGCTAGCTGTAGCTAAAACTAGCAGTAATTGTGAACCCATTTAATTATGCTAAATTTGACTGAAATCTGTTTTAGATGAATATTCAGATTCACAGGTATCTTTGTTAGGGGAATCAACTGAATGTATCAAAATCACAGAAGTTATACAGTTAGAGCTAATGTTTAACTTTAGTTAGAAGGTAGGTAACTATATTGGTTTGCAAAGGAACATTCGCTTTCATTTTGTAAATATTCAAGATTTGTCAAAAAATGTGTTTATTTTCCCTAAATGTTGCTTTGGTTTTTATTTGAAATATCCCCCATAACTTAAATGTGTTTACTGTGATATTTTCATAATGTGTTTCTTTACAATAAGCATTATTTCTTTTCAAATCAAGTTGTATCAACTTTTACAGTAAAAGTTGATCAAACCTTCTTTTAGCAATCTATTAGCATGGAATCATGCTTCAAGGATTTGTTTACCCCGCAACTGCAGCCAAAAACAAGCTTATTGTTCTTGTGTTGATGACTCAGTTCGATTCAAATCATTTATAACCACACAAAATCACAACAAGCAGGTAAAAAGATCTCTTAGAACAGTTGGTGATATTTAGTTTTTTTTTTACTCTCATTGAAGCCTAAAATACGGAAGAGGATTAGGGCCACTGGAAAAAAAAAAAATAAAACAATTCTGACTTTAATCTCAGAACTCTGAGATTAAAGTCAGAATTCTGAATTTTTTCTCAGAATTCTGACTTTTGTTTGTTTGTTTGTTTTCCAGTGGCCCTAATCCTCTTCCATACTGAAAAGACTGAGCTCATAAAAACACAAAATAATTATTTTAATCCGATAAAAAACAAGTTTGTTCAAAGGTCTTCATGAGTATAGGAAGGCCATTGCGTGTGCAAACTGAAGCACTGTGTGCATCGAGGTGGTGTCAGCTCACATCTCTAATCAACACTGAGGTAGGAGTAACTGTCAGCGAATCTGAATCACTCCAACAAAGCCGTTTTAACTTGCCTTCATGCACAAAAGCACTTCAGCTCTCTGAGGTTAGGAGACACTCTTCCTGTGACTTTGACTGTTTGCCTTTTTGTCCTGTTTGTCTGTTGCTGTTATTTCAGTCTCAGCAGGTCAGTCGGTCAGACATACAGCGGAAGGCATTTATCTCTTTCAGTTTTGGTATTTGAACATTTAAAATATAAACAAAAGTTAAAGGGAAGGACAGACAACAAAGCAACTGTACGTGCAGTCCACCCTTTGGCTTAGTTTACCTCAGCAGCATGCAAGAGTCATTGCAGGCGATAAAACCTGCTCTCCCCTGCAGTACACCGTCAATCTCCATCACAAAAACATCTGTGAGTTCTTTAAATTGGTGGCATTCCCCTTTAATGTCAGTGTGTCCTAACAGAGGAATCCTCGTTTGATCTGAAAGCGCACCAATGATCACAACCTGAGACCTGCAGCCAGCTGGCTCTAACACAAACCTCAGCTGATGAAAAGAAAAGAGTAAAAAAAAAACAATCCTGAATCTTTCCTGCTGGATTTCTGAGGGTTTCAAGGTTGAGTGGACTCAGAGGTCAGCAGGAGGACACCGCGGACCTGCAAGGTGCTGCGAGGATTTCATCTCCTTATATAGCTACATTTCAATAGATTACAATATATCAATGAAAGTAAATTAATTTGAGTATTTTAATTTAAAAAGTGAAACTCATGCATATTATTTACAAGTAGAGTTATGTATTCAAAGCATTTATGTCAGGTCATTTTGATGAATACTTCTTGTACCTAAGAAAAAAAAAAGATTTTGTATGCGAAGCAGAATAAAAAGACAATTTCTAAAGACGGCAACTGTTCAAAGAGTGTCGTTCCTAAGCATATAAATGAACATTTCACTGGCGTGTCTAATGGTAAGCCACTCCTGAGCCAGAGAGAACATCTTGAGCTCCTTACATGTGCCAAGGAATAAAAGGACTGGAATCTTGCTTGGTGGTCTATAGCCCTCTTTTCAGATGAAAGTAAGTTTGTATTTTATTTGGAAATCAAGTTATCAATAATCTGGATGAGGTGTGAAGAGTGTGGAGTTGGTCCAGTCTGTTTTATTAAGTCCAATGTCAAGACAAGACAACTGTTTGTTCAACATTAAGTCCAGCTTCCTCCTGTCACGTGTTCATGTGCTCCTGGTTGAGGCACTTAATCCCATGTTGCTTATTAACCTGTATATCGGTATATAAATGAGTGCATCTTCATGAGTGCAAATAGATGAATATGGTTTTAGTGCGTTGGGTGGTCAGTATGACTAGAAAATGTGATATAAATTCAGTCCATTTAGCTGTCTATTAGCTACTTCTGGACCACTTTTTATGTAGACACTGATTTTATTTTCCAGCAGGACTCAACACCTGCTCAGGCTGTCAAAAGTGTGACAGTATCACCATGTTTGATTGGCCAAAATACTTGCCTAACAAAAACTTCAAAGAGAATCTGTGGGCATTGTGAAGATGAGAGACACCAGACCCAGTCGTCCAGATGAACTAAAGGCTGGTAATAAAGTGACCTGGAGAGCAGCAGGCTGATCATATGTATACCAATCTGCAACAGAGCTGCAACTAATGGAAAGTTAGCCCTGGTAAACATATATTAAGTACATGTTCTGTCCAAAAGGCCAAAGTTTTAAATTCCATTCTTGTTTTCATTGAGTGATATTTTTACTTTTTAAGTAACTGATTTTTTTCTCACCCCTAAAGGATATTTGATGAATTACAACCAGGAAGATGATGTGCCTACACAATAACTTTGATAATAATCAAAGACAGAACTCCTGCAGCTCACTCAGGCAAGGGGTATGGTTTAGAAAAATCTGGACCTCGTCTTTAAAAAGAAAAATAATAATAACAACCAACTTCAGAGGGTAAAAGGGGAAATTTCTTACATACCTGCCGTTCCGATGGGAATACTTGTTTCCGCGGAAGTTTGTCCTTGGTTGCAGCTGACCCTGACGGAGCAGGGAGAGGAGCTGAGAGATCTGCTGCAGGAGAGAAGAGCGACAGAAGGGAATGATAAATATTAATCTCTGTCATTTCAGCATTTTTTTTTCTAGCTTTCAGGTTACCTAACCCAAAAATATTACAATAACACATTCTAAGCATATGAAAAGTATTTTTATATTCTTATTTTGGTGTTTTAATATGTTTATTGTTGAACTCAGATGTGGTTTAGTTTTTATATTTGTACTTTTCGAAGTGGTCAGTCACACCTCCTAGAACTGGTCAGATGCAGCATTTTTAAAGTCAATTATGCGAAACATTTAAAGCACTTTGAAGGATAAGAAGGCTGCACCATGGTGCAGTTGTTCGCAGTGTTGCGTCGCAGTTGAAAGGAGCAGGTATAAAAATGGCTAAATCTGATTTTATAGTTGTTGTTTTTTTTGTTTTTCTTTTTTCAGTTTAGAGCATCTTCATGACAGCATTGAAGGTCACATGAAGAAACAAATATAATTTTACAAGAGAAGAAAGTCAAACTAGAAACTCAGACTAAGTATGTGATGATGGGGTCAGTTAGGTCTGTTGATAAGTTTTGTGCTGTTTTGCATTTAATCAGACAGAACAAGTGTGCTGGAGGTTTTGACCGGTTAAACAATGAGTTCAGCTTTTATTTAGATGAACTTTCTTTTGCTTTGTTTCAGAGTTACAGTGTGAGAACTGAGCTCATTTGTCCATCTCACTGGTCAGTTTTCTGCTGACAGCTCTGTTATGCAGCGGATACATGCTGCTCTCCAGAGAGGAAACGTACACACACTAGCAAAGGTGAGCGTGTGTACTCATATTTGACTTTTGTAGCCATGATTGTTGTGTGTTTTTGCACGTGCATGCCACTGTGGTGACAGGAAATGGCCTCTACGTAAAAGCCCATTCTTCTCTTGCTCGGCTTCCTTCCAGGATGGACAGAGAAATATTGATGTGTGTGTTGTGTGGAGGTGAACAGTGAGTCTCAGACTTTCCGGCCGTCCAGTAGGCCTCTTCCTTTGTGACCTCGAGGGAGGAGAGAAACATCTGAGGTGTGATGAGTGCCAACTGGGACGACTGGGAGGGTTCTGGAAGAAACGAAGCTTGGCACAAACTAAGAAAGCCTCTTCCTGTCTGCTGAAAATCAGAAGGACTTTGGGGCTCGCTGCAGTCTTTGTCCTCTGTCTCCTGGGCGTTGGTGGTGACTTTAGACCTCAATGACATCTAAATTTGCTAATACATATACTTCCTATAAAATTCATCTAAACTTTCAGTAATTAAGTTGTATTAATTAAGGAACTCACTACAGTCTTTCTTTAGATGCCAATGCTCTTTCTACTCTGGTCAAATAGTCACAAAAACCTTTTAATTGCACCCAATAAAGCATGACTTTTTGAAAACTTTTGATTGAAATGTCTAGTTCAGAGGTTTGCACACTGAAATGTCAACTGACCAAGGCAGCACTTCAAACACACTGCTTCCTTGTGTTGACATCACAGAAAAGGGGAAATAAATGAGCCAAGATATCAACAAGAGAATCGTGAATGTCATCAAGTCTGTTCCATCCTACGGTAATTCCCAGTTCCCTCAAGAAACCATGTTCATCTGTCCCAATAATTATTTTGCAAATATTCAAAATGTGAGTATTTGCAGCCATCTCACCATTCAGGGTGGAGACAAGTTCTGCGCCCCAAAGACTGATGTGTTTTAGGGAAAATGTGGGCATTAACTCCAGAGCAAAAGCAAAGTGCCTGGTAGAAATGGTGGTGGAATTTGTGTCATTAATCACAGTGAAAAAACTGATATACAAAATGGGCTAAAAAGCCCCACAAACAGCAACATAAAAAGTCTTATTTCAGTTTGTAAATGAACAGAAAGCTTCATTTTGGTCTGATGAAACTGAAAAAAAAGTGTCTGAACTAGAACTGAGTCAAAAAATGTTATCTTAAGCATATAATATAGCAAATAGAAATAGAGAAGCTAACTGTGACTAAACAGCAAAAGTTTATTCAGAATCAGTGTCAGGCAGTTGTGATGTGTCAAGCACTCACAGTAATTGAACATAATAATTTAGAAACCCATCACTGCTTTTTCAGAAGTTATAGGAAAATTACTGAAGGTCTGTGCAAACCATAGAAAACACTGGCCGTTCTTCTTCTTTCATTTTAAGTCATTTCTATTTATGTTTGGACCCATTAAGCATACTCTAATTTTTGTACATTATTTTTCCATAGTTTCTGATAAAAAATAAAACAATAAAATCACAGCCTAAGACATTTGAAACCCCTTTATGCCTTAATGATTTCTGAGGTAGTGGACTAAAAAAATGGTAAAAACTGGATGTTTTTCATACACTAGTTACATCAGTGTAAAAAATCTGCTAATCACTGAAAGACCTTCAGAAAGTAAGAAGAACTACTGATAAAGACCACTTAAAAAATTACAAGTCAGGCATTTGTATTGGGTCTTAAATCAGCTGCTAACTGAAACAAAATGAATAAATGGTTTTCATATAACACGTAATGCCTCAGATATTATGTTACGTTATTGTTAATTCCCTGCAGACCTAGCGTCTGCAGCTGAGCGTCTCCTCTGGTTGTGGATCTGAGCTGCTTTCAGGCTGATCTGTTTTTCTTCCCTCCTGCCGCAGCGCTCTTCAGTAAAAGTGATTTTGGGGTCATTTATCAGCAACAGAGTGGCGTGTCAGGGCGGTTTTAGCTTACACTACAAACACATCACAGCTTACTTTGGCTGGCTCCAAGCCCCATCGTCCTCCTCCTTCTCCAGGCTTCAGAATGAGTCAGAAACATGATATTCGGTAAGAAAACGAATGTCACCGTTAGTCAGGGGGCATTTTTTTCTGTGACACATGAGTACCTGAATATGCTGGCTGCTTTAGGCTTCATAGTGATCCATCAGCTAGTTACATTCCCCCGCCCTCTCCCTCCCTTTCCTCCAGCCTTTAGGGCGTCTGAATAAGCCATCATACAGGAGGTAGAAAAAGGATGGCGGCTGCTGGAAGGGAAGCTGCTCTGTCTGAGCAAGAGACGAAGGGTGGGGGTGAAGGGGGTGTTGGGCCTACATCTTTGCTCTCTAATGGACTTCACTTCAGATTAATCTCAAAGCCTGCAGGGGGGACACTTAATTACTTGAGCACTAACTGTAAGCACATGTTAAAATAAATGTGATCACACAGATTTTAGATCTGAGTAAATGGCATTTAAATGAGAGCGAGCAGCAGCAGCAGCCGTGTGTTAGCCTTAATGTTTGAGCTACAGCAGAGAATGTAAATAAGAAGACATTAAAGAATCATCCGGTGGATTAGCGAAGTCTTTAATGTCAAACAGATGGGCATATTTATCAACTCAACTTGATGTGCTCTGCCGTGAATGTTACTTCTGAACCTATAATGGATCGTTAAAGCTTAAAGGTATGACTCAAAGAGTTTAGAGAAGACACTACAGGCTAGTTTTACTCCAGTTTTGCACATTATCATACAAATGTGTGACTAGATACATACACAGACAGACATACAGATAGAAACATGAATCTTTGAGGTAGTGAATGTTGTGATGAAGTTATAACTCACCTGCACCTCTGGGGAAGCTGAGGAAAGCTCGATGGTGTCTCCGAATGCAGCCATGGAGAGACGAACCAGGTTTCGAAGCATTTGCTGGTGTTCTGCATCTTGCTGACCATCTGATGTCTTCGGCCTCCTTAGAGTCGCCTGGGACGTCGAACGTTGAGGACGTGACTCTTCGCTTTCTGGGTGCAGCTTATTACGCTTCAAGGTGCTAAAATGTGACAGCGAAGAAGAGGACGAGGAAGGGTTTCTGGTTTTACAAAGGGTCTGGTATGATGTAGCTGGTGTCAGAGTCAAAGTCCCATCAAGTTCAATATTGCCAGGTTTCCGAAGTGTTTTGCAGTGATGGCCAACATGCTGAGGGGAATCCACTTCCGGGTAGCTTTGGGAATGAAAGCTGGTGTTCATAACCGATGGTATGAAGTTATACTCTCTCTCAGTTTGTTGGTCTTCTGGTAGTGGAGCAGGAGTCAGAGGCTGGACCTCACTGTCTTCCTCAAACGGCTCTTCTTTGCGCCCTCGGATCACTGGAATTAGCTGGATGTCAGATTTTCTGATGTTCTTTTGTGGCCTTCGAGGATGCCGGGTGTAGCTGGATTCAGCCTGTCTGCAATTGTAAGCACGGTTGTCCCGTTTCTCGGGTCGGCAAAATGTTGTCACCAACGCGATGGCCAACAGAAGGAGCAGGCATGTGGCACCCAGGCAGACGGCCATCATCATGGTAAAGCTAAGTTGCCCTCGGTTTCCAGGTGAAGAGTTCTTCAAGTGGTCCTGGAGATTGATGAAAGTTACCTCCAGAGTCGCCTCTGTCTTGTAGCTGGGAGAGCCCATGTCTGCCACAGACAGCTCCATCTTAAAAGTTCTCCCAATCAGCTCAGTGGCATTGGTGGCATTTACAAATAGCTGCCCTGTATCTTCATCCATCCAGAACAAGCCATTTGTGTTTCCATTTGAAATGATGTACTTTAGCTGTCCATTGAGTCCTGAGTCTGGATCTTCGGCTTTTATTGTTGATGCAGGGAAGCTGTTGAATCCATCCAAAACTGAGCGACTGATTGGCAGAGAAGTGGGTTTTTCTTCTGTGTCGTTTCCGAGCTCGGTCACAATCTCCCCTCTGTGTGCATTCACGGGGATGCTCACAGAAACCACCCCGTTTCTCGGTTTTGGTTCCTTGATGACTGGAGAGTTGTCATTTAAATCCTCAACATTAATCTGGACTGTGGTCGAACCAGTCAGTGGCGGGTGCCCATAGTCCACAGCTTCCACAATGAAAGAGTAGCTCTGAGATTCCTCGTGGTCTAAGCTTCGGAGTACCCTTATGATTCCAGTTGTTGGGTGTATGGAGAAACTCTTCTGGTCAGTAAGTGTCTTTATTTTGTAAGAAACTTTTCCATTGAGTCCCTGGTCATCATCACTTGCTTTGACTTCAAGAACTGCATCCTCTTTAAAATTGTTTTCCTTAATTGAAGTATTATAAATAGATTTGAGAAATACTGGTGCATTATCATTCTCATCTAGAACAGAAACTGGCAAGTTTTCAATAGTAACTAAAGACGGATTTCCATGGTCCTTAGCAATGAGTTTGATGTTATAATTATTAACCTTCTCTCGATCCAAGGAGTCATTTGTTACAATCAAGAAATTAAAATGGTCGCTGGATTTAAGACGGAAAGGCCCTGATCCCTCTTGAATAGTCAGGCTCACTTCTCCATTCTTCCCTGAATCTGCATCATAAACTGTCACCAGTACAAGAAACGTATCAATCGGAGCTCCTTCCCTGACGGTGGGGACAGAAGAGGTGGGTGAAAGCCATTTTGTGCTAATCCTTGGTGCGTGATCATTTACATCCACAAGTTTTATATGTAGCTTGCAGTGAGTTGGCATGCTGTTGGGACCATGATCTACGGCCAGTATGTTGAGCACATAGGATGGCTCCCTCTCATAGTCCAAAGGAGCCTTTACAATCACCTCTCCAGTCTGTGAATCCACATGGAAAAGTTTTTGAAACTCTGGGGGGGTGTGTTTACTGAACCAGTACTTCACCTCACCATTGGCACCTAGGTCTGGGTCAGTAGCTGTAAGCTTGAAGATGGTTGTCCCAATGGGTGTATTCTCACTTAGAGTCACAGTTGGACTGCTCTCCTGAAAAGCCGGGCTGTTATCATTTGAGTCCTGAATCAACACATGGACAGACATGCTCCCGGACTTTGGTGGGTTCCCTTTATCGTATGCTACCAGAATCAGGTCAAAAGAGTCCTGAACCTCCCTGTCTAACTCTTTGATAACCACCAGCTCTGCTTGTTTTGACCCACCTGAAGCGTCTGTCACATCCAAAGCAAAGTGTTGATTAACTGATAGGGAATAGGTCTGAAGGCCGTTGGGCCCCGCATCGAGATCAACAGCTCGATCTAAAGGGATTCGCATGCGAAGGGGGGCAGTCTCTGAGATCTCCACCTCCTGTGTGGTGTTGGGGAAGCTGGGACTATGGTCGTTTAGGTCCATCACTTCAACACGGATCCGGAGGCAGTTCACAGAGCCGCTCTTTCTGTAGAGGACGCTGAAGGCCACCTCGCAAAGGTCTGATCCCCGGCACAGCGCCTCCCTGTCCAGTTGACCTTGGGTGGAGATGACCCCGTCTCGAGCCGTGACAGAGAAAGGAAGGGCCTTTACCTGCTCCACCACCTGGAAATCCTCCAGAGGGCCGATTTCATCCCTCTGACGGAGGTCGTCCAACAGACGGCCGACCTGAGTTCCCGACGGCTGCTCCTCCCAAACCCGGTAATGGATAATTATTGAAGATGACTCAGAGCAGAGAGTCCCAGAGGAAAGGCTCAGAACCAGAAGCAGAGCCAGCAGCATAGTGACATAGAGTAACAATTACCTGTTATACACTGGCTAAGCTGATTTATTTATTTTTAATGTTGACAATAAATAAGATGGTAAATTAACTTTTTCTATTTAAAAAAACAATTAAGCAAATTGAATAGTAAGTATTAATATTTTTAACAAATACTAGTTTCTGTCATAAAAAAATATATTTATCTTACAATAACCAACTACAGCCACAAAACTATAGGAAACATGTGGTTTTCCAAAAAAAAAAAAAAAAAAAAAACACAAACAAAACTGAAGAAAAAAACTTCCAGTCGCTTTAGAAAAAAACCTATCAGAAACCCAGAATTAAGATATCATTTCATTCCCCATAACCTCTAGCCTCTGTCTGCCTGCTGTTACTCACAGCTGCTGGCGTTCCTGCCTCTCAGTTCATCCTCAACTCAGGGAAGTTTTCCTCCAACTGAGAAAGTTTGGATATGTGTTTCCACATGCCAGCAGGGGCGCCGACCAATCAAAAATAAGGAGGAGGGTCACATGCAAAGTAGCCGCAACTTGACACAAAGAAAAGCCCTCCGGCCCTGAGGAAACTCAGTGCTTTCACAGAAACATGACCCTGCCTCTCCATCACTTAAACCCCCCTCTGCCCTTCCAAAGATCTGTGTAAACTCATCACAAGCTGCAGGCTGGAACCTTAAATCACTCGGAAAATGTGCTAAATCCCAGTGGGACGAGGGCCTGGAGCACTCGGATCTACCTGAACTCGATCACGGTGACGTATGGTCTGGCCTTTTGACAGCGAAAACAGAAACACGGATAAGACAATAAACCATGACAGTAACAAGCATGCCCTGTTATGATTGCATTGAACAGCCTTTAGGAGGCATTTTGTGTCCTGGAGAGTATTCATAGATGTCTAATGTGGAAGAAAAAGCAGCTTCTGTGAGTACACTAGCTATGAAATAAACACAATCTAGAAGTCTGTTTTTAATGTGACAAAAACCTCACATTCCAGCTGTCGTTTAAATATAATTACAGAGAGATTCATCTTGCACCACACGGTCAGAGGTTGACAAATCTCCCATACATTCTCATTTCTGTCATTCCTCCGTGGCTCAGTCAAAATTAGCCAAAACTTTTGAATAAAATGGGAAGGAATCAAGGAAATTTGGACTTTCAAAATGTCTTCGTAAGGGACAATTTAAAACTTTAATAAAAATGTTCACCAAATTGTTCAACACGGTAACTGTCTTAAATGTTTTTATACTATTAAATAATCTTTCTCACTGCAAAATGATGGATGGATAGCTTTAAAGTAGCCTTATAGTCCATCCCAAATTGATGTGGAGTAACAACTGCTTCTCTTATCTGCTTTGTTGTTTCATTCAAGTTAGATTTATTAAATTGACCTGATAAGGACTTCGCAATGGTTTTCATCTGTATTTATGCCTAAAACGTTTGAGTGTGAACGTGTGAACCTGAAAGCACAGCTCTGCAGTAAACTTTTACAGCAGCTATAAGAGAAATGCTCTCTTATAGCATAAAAATGAGTCTTTGGGAATGTTTTGAATAAGAGGGAAAAAAATCTAAAACTAAACTTGATAAGATGACAACAAGATAAGACTTTTTATTGGTCTGAAATATTTATTTCCATGGATCAGAGTTTTAATGTTTCTCTCCTTGAAGATAACAGTTTTGACAGGACTGAGTTAAATAACCCTTTCTGCCTTCTCTGGCTTAATATAAATACAATTATAAATGCATCAGTTGGCTTTGGGTCATGAGGACACACAGAACTTTAATCAGTGACATTACCGTAAGAGAGATAGTGCATATCTCATGGCCAAAATATGGGGTTTGTAGCCTGGATGGACCAGAAAATAGATAATTCTGCCTTTTGGCGTAGCTTAATGCCCTCATCATTGCAGATCAACCTCCAACTTTTCTATCATCTGCCTAACAACACTTGGGAACTACAAATAACATAACTCAACTGTGAGCTGTTGCAATAGACAGGTCATTGTTTGAAAATGCCAGTAGAACCACATCATTTGCAGTAAACAAAGATGAGACCCTGATAATCCCAAACTTTAAACCACTATAACTTTTAATTCACTATAATCATTAATCTGAATTCTAAATTTAGATCAAAGCCATAATCATGTTAAATCTTCATTTGAATCTGAGAAACTCAAATGTCTCCTATGTCCGTCCGTTTCTGCAACCTGTTCAAGGAACCCAAATCTGAGACGAACAGAGGTCATTAGGTTATCTCCAAAACAAACAGCCTCAGCCTCTTGTCTGCAACAAATCAGCTAACACGGTTAGTGTGTGGCTCAGTTCGTGGCTCAGTTGTCTTCTGAAAAGCTTTTAAGGTGGGAAGGACATTTCTCCAGACACACACATGCACACGTCTGCTTCTAATTAACCCACTACCTGCATAAAAGTGTGTGGCAGGAAGTTACACACAGTCAGTCTTCCTACGTCCACTCACAACTGGGGTTGTTTTACATTACTGTGTCTTTTCAAGAGTCACAACTGTTGCTTCTTTGGACTAGTTGCACTAACCCCACATACTCCAGATGATATTTACCTAAAATGTAAGGTAAATACTTTTCTTAGGCTGAACGTCTGCTTTCATTTTAAGGCCATGTTAAAAAAAAATTACTAAAAATAAGATCAGAAGTGGTGAAAAAGTCGATTAAAAAGTAACAGCAGGCGAACCAGTTTCAACAGGGCATTAAGAGAAAACTACAGCAGATTGAATTAAGACAAACGTTTAGAATAACAATAATTATTATTATCTTTATTATTATCTCTATTATTATTATAATATCAGTTGGCCCCTGGCGAAGAAACCTGCAATAATCTAAATAGAAAATAAATGTAGGAATAATAATAATATTAAACAAATATGTATAACAATCACACTTATAGCAGCGGTCAGATAAGAAATCAATCTCTGCAGAGGTGGGCAGTAACTAGTTACTCTTCTACTCGGTTACATGTGCTTGAGTAGCTTTTTAATAATGTACATGTAGGATCAATTTTCCTGTGCTGACTTTTTACTTTGAATTGAGTAATATTATGAAGTAACTCCACTCTCACTGGGCTAACATTTCTCGATACCCTTGAATTTATTATCGGAGGGTTCTTCATTCAGTAAATGAAGAACAATGATAACTGAAAATGCACCAGACACAGACAAAAACCTGCAGTTTGAGACTTTTTATTTCTACTCAAGCGTCATTATTTTTGTTATTTTCTATCTGCTGAGTGTGTTGTACCATTTGGAAGTCCAGTAAGTAATCTGCTAACAGTACACACCGGCACTGGAAGTACTTAAAATATCAGAAATTGCTCATAACTCTATATTTTTGTTAGTCTGGCCTCATTTTTAAATATGAAATCAGATGTTGTGATAAGATCAGTACGTGAGCATTGCAATAACAAATCTACTTCTGCTTTTATATTTTGTCTTTTGAAACTGGACTAATAGGAAAGTGGAAGAATTCAAAGATTCATGGCCCGTGTGTGTTTGTGTGTGTATGTCATTGCCGCCATTAGCAGAGGAATTGGTGGTTAATTTACCTTTTGTTTTGCCTAACGTCTTGCTGAAAGCAGCTGAAAACCCCTTCAATGACTTTGTGTGTGTGCGTGTGTGTGAGTGTGTGTACGGCTGATCTGCTGACCCACATGTCGCCAGATAACGATCAGAGTCACACAAAGCAAATACCATAGACTAGGGTGAGGTCAAACTGAATGTCTGGATGAATATTTTAGTCTAATCTAATTTTCAGATGAAGACAGAAGCTATTTCTCTCCTCTGAAATCAATTAAGTAAAAAAAAAAAAGTGGTTTTAAATATTTTCAGCATTTTCTTCTCTGTTGAGACAGACCCAAAGGCAGTCGAATGTAATTATTCTGTGATTTAGGAAAATAAAACTCTAGTTCTTTTCTATCTTCCTTCTGTTTGGAGTTATCCTGCACCTTTTCTGAATTTCACAAGTCACCTTGAAAAACTGCAACCTGCTTTAAAAATAGGAAAATTGAGCATCTGTCCCATACTACTTCACAAGTTTATTCAGATTTTTTTTTTAATTATGTGGGAAAAATCCAAAACATGCAGAGCTGTTTTGTGGCTTGAGGACCAAACACTGCTCTACTGCACTTACATTTAAAACTTTTAATTCAGCTATTGTGCTCGTTTTATAGATGGTAGTTTTAATTTCATTTTCTCTTGTACGTTTTTTTTTTTGAAGGCCTCTCTCTGTTTTCACCCTTTGAAAAGCACTTTGTTCATTTATTTGCATGAAAAGTGGCCTGACAATAAAGTTTATTGCTTTCTTCAGATCTTGTCTTTCACTATGATTTGCATTACTGATTAACATCGCTGGACTTCTCATCAGAGTAACTTATTTTAAAAACAAATAGTTCTGTGCAGACGCTGAGAGGCTCTGGTGGTTTAGTGTGCACGCTGTCTGCAGAGATTAGTCTTTGAAGAGGTTGTCCCGAGTTCGATTCTGAGTCTTGGACCGTTTGCCCAGACTGGGCAAATGGCCCAGTCCCTATTTAATGTCTATTTATTGTTCAATAAACGCAACTATACCTTTTGAATTTTAAAAGAAATCTGACCAGTGTAAATTTGACAGTGATGAAACTGTTTATAAAAATGATTCTTACATATTTCAGACTGGAGTCAGTGAGACACCAGAAAGTCACTTACCAGAACTCGGTGCTCCTCTGGTGTGTAGAATGTTGTCTAGTGCACTTAGGATGCTGACTGTCGATAACTACTCTTAAAACCCAGCAGCAACAATGGAAACAATCCCCATGGGCCCAAAATGTTGATGGCCTCCAAACATT